AATTATGGTAATGGCTTCATGGATGCGTATAAGTCAAATGAATCTAATGGTATACTTATAAAACTATACAGCATATTGCATATCAATGATCCCTCTAATAAAGGCACTACATCTTTGTATTGGAACAGCTAAAATTAAAAAAAAAAAACTGACAACACTAAGTCCTGGTGAGGATGTGAGCAACTGGGGCTCTCATACGTTATTCCAGAGGATGCATGTTTAAAAATCTGGCAGTCATAAGCTTTCTTTTTTTATTCTTTTATTATTTATTATTATTATTTTTTAAAGACGAGGTTTCACCATATTGGTCAGGCTGGTTTTGAACTCCGAACCTCAGGTAATCCGCCCGCCTCGACCTCCCGAAGTGCTAAGATTACAGGCATGAGCCACCGCGTCCGGCCTAGTCATAAGCTTTTAATTGTTCAGCCATGTGTATGACAGCTGGAAGTACTGACCTCCCACTGATTTGACATTGAAGTCCTACAAATACTTACACCTTTTAAAAATATAGAAATGTCAGGTACATCTAACATAACAATTGATCAAGAATTATAGATTTAATTTTTTTGAAACTTGTATATGTAATACAGACATTTTGTAAGAGTTTGGCAGTGCCTTATAAATTAAATATGCAGTTACTCCGTAATAGAAATCCCAGCACAAGGGAAATAAAAACAATTTACTCAAAAAACTCTATGCTAATGTTTATGGCAGCTTTGTTCAAAATTCAAATATTGGTAAATAATCCAAATATCCTTCACCTGGTAGATGGAAAACAAATTGTGGTATACCCACAGCATACTCAGCAACAAAAGGGAATGAACTGTTGGTCCACTCAGTGACAAGGATGAATCTCAAAGCATTATGCTAAATGAAAGAAGCCTCACTTGAAAGGCTACATACTCTACGATCCACTTATACAACATTCTAGAAAAGGCAAAACTACAGGGACAGAAAAGAGGTCAGCATTTGCCAAAGTTGGGTTGGTGGGAATGGATTGCTACAAAATGCCGTGAGGGAATTTTAGGGGGTGGTGCCGGTGGTGGTGATGGTTATAAAACTATGCATTTGTTGGCTGGGCGTGGTGGCTTACGCCTGTATTTCCCACATTGGGAGGCTGAGGTGGGCCGATCATGAAGTCAGGAGATCGAGACCAGCCTGGCCAATATGGTGAAACCCCGTCTCTACTAAAAATACAAAAATTACCCAGGCGTGGTGGTGCACACCTGTAGTCTCAGCTACTTGGGAGGCTGAGGCAAAAGTGGAGGTTGCAGTGAGCCGGGGAAGTGGAGGTTGCAGTGAGCCGAGATCATGCTACTGCACTCCAGCCTGGGCAACAGAGCGAGATTTCATCTCAAAAACAAACAAACAAACAAATGAAAAACGATGCATTTGTCAAAACTTGTAGAACTGTACACTAATTTAAAAGAGGTGAATTTTGCTATTTTTAAAAGTTATCTCAGAGATAAAAATGATTTCTTATGGCTTATAAGGGTTATATATCATAAAATTAGTTGAAAAGATCTAATTTGACAAGGTTGTAAATGACAGCTTTGAAAAGGATATAATCTTCATCCTCTTCTGCAGTCTGTAGACTTGCATAAATATGCCTAACTGTTACCATGCGTTAAAAATGAATCTAACCTTGGAAGTGTTATCTGAACAAATGGGTCAGGTAAGATACCCAGACTCCAAACACGATTCCCATGTCTTTTGAAAATAACCTCGAAAACGAAACTTGTAATTCTTTTTTTTTTTTTTTTTCTTTTTGAGACAGAGTTTCGCTCTTGTTACTCAGCCTGGAGTGCAATGGCGCGATCTCGCTCACTGCAACCTCCGCCTCCTGGGTTCAAGCAATTCTCCCGCCTCAGCCTCCTGAGTAGCTGAGACTACAGGCGCCCGCCACCATGCCCAGCTAATTTTTGTATTTTTAGTAGAGACGGGGTTTGACCATGTTGACCAGGATAGTCTCGAACTGTTGACCTCATGATCCACCTGCCTCGGACTCCCAAAGTGCTGGGATTACAGGCATGAGGCACCGCGCCGGGCCGTAAAAATTTTTTTTTTTTTTTTTTTTTTTTTTTTTGAGACAGAGTTTCGCTCTTGTTACCCAGACAGGAGTGCAATGGCGCCATCTTGCTCACCGCAACCTCCGCCGCCTGAGTTCAGGCAATTCTCCTGCCCTAGCCTCCTGAGTAGTTGGGACTACAGGCGCCCGCCACCATGCCCAGCTAATTTTTGTATTTTTAGTAGAGACGGGGTTTCACCATGTTGACCAGGATGGTCTCATCTCTTGACCTTGTGATCCACCCGCCTCGGCCTCCCAAAGTGCTGGGATTACAGGCGTGAGCCACCGTGCCCGGCGCCGTAAATTATTTTCAGTGCTAATTGCTTATTTTTGTGATATGGTCAGGATGTATGTTGCAAAAGTAATTCTACTAGATTGTGAGTTCCACGAGAGCTAAGAGCAGGAACTGCATTGTTTACCTGGCTGAAACGTGAAGTAGATACTTCAAGTCGATACTTTCCTGCTCTTAGCTCTCGTGGAACTCACAATCTAGTAGAATTAGCAGCATACATCCTGACAATATCACATAAATAAGCAATTAGTATTGAAAATAATTTACGGAGCCGGACGTGGTGGCTCACATCTATAATCCCAGCACTTTGAAAGGCCGAAGCGGTTGTGAGTTCCACGAGAGCTAAGAGCAGAAAAGTATCTACTTGAACTATCTACTTGATGGGCTCACAGAGACCACAGGAGAGAAACTACAGCCAAGAGAACAACCCGAAAGACAAAGGACACGGTGCCATAGCGCGTATAATACAGTGCACTCAGGAAATGGCTGGCATCCTGAGATACGGAGTGGAATACAGTACAGGGCTTTGTAAAGTCCGTTTGGAGTCAGATCACAGAAAGCCTTGACAAGGAGCTGAAAATGGGTTCTAAAAGACCGGAAGCTCTTCAAGATTTCCAAGAGGAAAAAATACAAATCAGCTTGTTTTCAGAACGTAATTCTGGGGCAGTTGCTAGCATTACATAAGAAAGGAGGTTCAGACAGGATACGGGAAAGTGCCTCCCTTCCATAGTAGAAGTGTTTGTGGTAGGACAAAAATTACAATTTCAATGATAGTAACCATCAGAATGGAGAACTATAAAACTTAAATGTGTAGCAGGAGGAAAGTAAACCAAGCTGACTAACCGCCTATTACAACTCCACCGTGACAAGACTAGAGTGTCCATCATCAACTTTTTTAGTGCCTCAGTCTTCAGTGTGGACAGACGAGTGGTAAACTTGGTCATCAGGTATTGCAAGAACACGTCCAAGAGCAGAGACAGAGGTATAAACACACAGGAGAAGGAGAAGAAAGAAAAAGAAAACAGTTGATTCAGGGAAATTTTAAAATAATTGATATTAGAGAGATAAACATAATGAACTCATTTTTCTAATAGCATTTCCTTCCAGAAAAAAAGAGCTACTTCTTGGAAATTAAAATCATAGGGCAGATAAAAATATATAGCAGAAAATTTAGAAAAGTAGAAAATAAAGCTGAGAAAAATCTTCCTAATTTTTGAAAAAAGGCAAAAGGTTAAAAATGGAAAACAAGAGAAAAATAAACTTACATTTCATAAAATCCCACATTAAACTAGTAAGTCTTCCGCCACTTCAAAGAAAAATGTGATAAAATTGAAATATCTCAGAACTAAGCACATAACTTGCCAGGTTAAAAAAGCTCACTAAGTATTTACCATTATGAATTAAAAAGCACCCATACTGGCTGGGCGTGGTGACTCACGCCTGTGATCCCAGCACTTTGGGAGGCTGAGGCAGACTGATACTTGAGGTCAGGAGTTCAAGACCAACCTGGACAACATGGTGAAACCCCATCTCTACCAAAAATACAAAAATTAGTCAGGTACGGTGGTGTGTGCTTGTAGTACCAACTACTTGGGAGGCCGAGGCAGGCCGAGGCAGGCCGAGGCAGGAGAATCGATTGAGCCTGGGAGACGGAGGTTGCAGTGAGCCGAGATCATGCCATTGCATTCCAGCCTGGGCAATAGAGTGAGATTCTGTTTCAAAAAAGATAAAGATACTAAAGCTACCAGAGAGGAAAATTACAGGTCACAAATAAAAGCTCTGAAGTCAGGATAGCACAGGATTTCAGCAGCAAGAATGAAATCTAGAACAACAATGAATAAATGCATTTAAAACTGCTTACCTACAATTCTAGAATCAAACTATCCAGTCAGTGAAAGAGTCAAATAAACCCATTTCACTCAGGCAAAGGTCTTGAAAAGTTTATATCCCCATGACCTTCCCTGGGAAGCTGAAGGATATACGCCACCAAACAGGGAAGCAAACCAAAAGGCAGCGTCTGTGGGATCCAGAAGACAGGAGAGGAATGTGAGAAACGACCACGGTGAAGGTAAAGAGAATCCCCAGAACAGTAGCTATGCCCGAGCTCTAGAGAATAGCCAAGGTTCGGTGGCTCACACCTGTAATCCCAGCACTTTGGGAGGCTGAGGCAGGAGGATCACTTGAGGTCAGGGGTTTGAGATCGGCCTCACCAACATGCTGAAACCCACTCTCTACTAAAAATACAAAAATTAGCTGTGCATGGTGGTACGTGCCTGTAATCCTAGCTACTCGGGAGGCTGCCGTGTGAGGATCACTTGAACCCAGGAGTAGGAGGCTGCAGTGAGCCAAGATCACACCACTGCCCTCCCGCCTGAGCAACAGAGTGAGACTTTCTCTTTAACAACAAGAGCAAAAACTAATAACCAAAGTGCCTGTTCTGGGCCAAGTTGTGTCACTCCAAAAGTCATGTTAAAGTTCTAACCACGGTGTCTCAGTGTGTAACCAAACCTGGAAACAGGGCCTTTAAAGAGGTAAGTAAGTAAAAATGAAGTCAGTAGGGTGGGCCCCAATACAATATGACTAGTGTCCTTTTTCTTTTCTTTTAAATTGATGTCCCATTCTAACTGGCGTCCTTTTAAGGTAAGGAAATTTGGACACAGAGAGATACACAGGGAAGATCATGTGAAGCCAGAAGCCACGGGAAGACGGCCATCTATGTAAGACAAGAAGAGAGGCCTCAGAAGAAACCAACCCTGCGGACACCTTGATCTTGGATGTCTCCGGAACGGTGAGAAAATTAATTTTTCTTATTTAAGCCACCCCGTCTGTGGTGCTTTGCTATGGCAGCCCTAGGAAATGAATACAGCACTCAACCTGGAACAGGGGAACCAGGTAAGATTAAGAAAAAAAAATTTGATGTATATACAAGGTTAAATAATGCTATCAGAGATTTGGGGGATGAATTCATAATCAATTCATAGGAAAAGAGGCAAACCAATGAGGTAAAAATGATGGGGGAAAGTGGTCTGAGAAACAGTCATGGTACACTATGGCTATGACGAATATTTAGTAAAGAACATGAACTGAGAGCACCGACTTAACCAAAGGTTGAGACACAACTGTGGTGTGGTGTGGGTAGATGTTAGGAAAGAGCTAAATTCTTATCTACATCGGAGGAAATAAACACAAACAGAAAAATGAAGAAGTGGCGATATAAGCACATTATTTAAATATGGAGGCAAATGTCAATAAATAATGCAAAAATACTTAAAAGTGGCTGCCTTTGGGAGATGATAATCAGGAGTAAGGAGGAGGACCAGCCTTTTTCATGATAATCTCTGTGGAGCTATGTGGATTGTAAACAGCTCATATGTGTTTATGAATAATGTAAGAATTTTAAAACCTAAACAGACCACTAAAGACCACCTTACTTTTTTAAATTGTTTTTTAATATATATATATATTTTTTGAGACATAGTCTTGTTCTGTGGCCCAGGCTGAATGCATTGGGCAATCTTGGCTCACCACAAACTCCGCCTTCCAGGTTCAAGCCATTCCCCTGCCTCATCCTCCTGAGTAGCTGGGGTTATAGGCGTGCACCACCACACTCAGCTAATTTTTATATTTTTAGTAGAGATGGGGTTTCACCATATTGGCCAGGCTGGTCTCGAACTCCTGAGCTCAAGTGTTCTCGGCCTCACAAAGTGCTGGGATTACAGGTGTAAGCCACCATGCCTGGTCTAAACCCCTTTTAAAACAAGGAGTTGCTGGTCCTCTTAGCCAGACACAGAACAAGTGTGTTAAATAAATGAGACAGGAGACATCAAATGGTGACGTTTGCTGTTTTTTTAAATGAGCCATGTTAACTGAAATGAGGAGGACACAGAGGGGACAATAGGGCCAGGAAACTTTTGTGAAGGTGTAATGTTTATACGATGGCACTTCTGCTGACAGTGTTGTCCTCCTCAGAAGTTGCCTGCCCAGAGGCTCTTTAAAACAGACTAGCTGAATTTCCATACCAGCCCCTGCTTGTTCTTTTTGCCTCACCAGTTGTCTTGCTCCAATGTCTTCCCAAGTGAGCCTTCATGATGTATTCACGATGAGCCTTCGTGATAGACTCTTCAAGACCAGCCTTTTAGCAAGAAAGGGTTTTATATCTAGCTTTTTATATCTCTGTTAAATGTGGCAAGCAGAGAGAAACTTTATAGCCATCACTTAGATGAAATATAGCAATGTAACCAAGCCTGTTATAAAAACCATGTTTGTTTTACTTTCCTTTCTCTTTGTCCTTAACTGCCTCCAGGCAGGATTGCTTGCAGGTGGTCATTTTGGTAGAGGGTAGTCACTAACAAGTGATTAACTTCATATCCTCATCCCCAGGGGATGCTTGCAACATTAATGAGCTTGTTTTTCTTATAAGGAACAGTGATCCTTGGTCATGCTGACCTCCTTGATGGCATGCAGAAGTTTGGCCAAGGGATGCAAGCAGCTTTGATCATCAGGGGATCTCACTTCCCACACACCTTCCTTACTCATAAAAGCCATCAGTTATGTGCAAAGGGAGGTGGAATTTGAGAATTTGCCTCTTCCACCCTCATGCTTTGGACAATCTGAATAAACCTTTCTCTGCTCCGAAGCACTCATGTGTCAGTGTTTGGCTTACTGTGCATCAGGTACCTGACATAAGTTTTGGGGTTCTGTAACAGATTTTGGCAACGTGGCAGGAGGCCCCAGCCAGGTCAGGCAAATGAGTGCCAGAAGCTGCCCAGGCTTGTTGGATGGGGAGACCTAAAGTCACTCCGCTAGGTCAGTGTCGGCTGCTGTTGGTGCTCTAGAAGCTTAGAGCAGAGAAACATCTCAGACTGCTATCTGGACTTCCAGTTTTGGTTTGAATGGTAAGTCGCTGGGGTGTACACAGCCATATCTCTCACTCTCTCTGCTTGTAATGTGGAGAGGGCCTTCTGGGGAGTAATAGAATGGTGGATTATACTCACTTGCTTGTTTCCTGTAAGAGTTATGTTTTTTTGTTTGTGATTTTATGGGCTTTATTTTTGGGGGGGTTGTGTGTGTGTGTGTCTGTGTGTATATGTGTGTATGTGAAAAGACTGAACATGGCAAATTTGGAATTGATCCCAGAAAGTAGCATCCTTGGCTGCATTCTCCAGGATTGGGCCACTTTCAGCTATGAGCCCATGAAGAAAAATAAACTGCTTTTTTATTATAATGCTGCTTGGCCAGAATATGTCTTAGAATTTGGGGAAAATGGCTGACAAACAGTTCTTTAAGTTATGCTACTATAATGCAACTGGAACTGTTCTCTAAGACAAGAAAAAATACACTTCTTGGAACAAAAGGTTAAAAAAAAAAAAAAAGAAAAGAAAAGAAAAGAAAAAATAGGATGCAATCCTGTATGTCCAGGCTACCATGCTCTTGTATCAGAATGAACCTACTCAAAAGAGGTAAAATTTGATGCTGCAAAAGAAAAAACAACCCAAACCTAAGGTTTTAGACTCCCCATCATTAGATGGGGAAGACAGGACACTGTCTGCTGCTTTGCATCCCCTGAATAATCATCCTGATCCTCTGCCCCTTCCCCAGTCAGCTGTAGCTCCAGCACCACCCCCTCCTCATGGGATTGTCTGGAGTAGGAGGGGAACACTCCCAAACCTGTCCTCCCCATGGAATTAGGACAGACTGTGTTCTCCCCTTCCTGCAATGAACAGAAAACCCAATTTGGCCAGGGAGCCACTGGCCCCTTGGTAGGGCACTTTCCTCTGCGTTAGTTCCCTACTGGGGGACTGAACGTGAATGGACAACAGGTTGGCATGATGTGGGTACATTTCCTTTTCCCACTTTGGATCTGTTCAGCTGGAAAAACAGTAATCCCCCCATCCCAATGCAAGCAAATGGCTGAGCTATTCTTGTCTAGATTTCTGACCTATCAACCCCCACAAGGCAGATACTCACTTTGTTAAAGTGCTGCTCACATCAGAAGAAAGGCCTGTGGTCACGGAAAAGGCTAGGGAAGAGGAAAACAGGCTCTGTCTGGAGGCGGGAAGCAATGGCCCCTTGCCAAGAGTCAGTCCCCAACACAGAGCCCGATTAGGATGTAAATGATGAGGTCCTTCCCACTTAGGGCACTAACAGAATTGCATTCTTGAAGGTTTAAAGAAAGGGATTCCTCAGGCAAAGAACCTCAATAAGGTACAGGAAGTACAGCAGCAAGCATATGAGGACCCTTCATAATTCACAGAAAGACTCCATCAGACATGGAAAGTAGACTGACACTAACCCTGAGGCACCCGACAATCAGAGAATGGTCACTGTGACCTTAATCAGCCAGAAGCCCTGATATTCAGAGAAAACTGCAAATGGTAAGTGGGATCCTTGGGTTGCCAATCTCATATTTAGTGGAGTTAGCTTTTAAAGTATACTATGCTCAGGATGAGGCTCAGGAAAAGTGCAAATTGAAGCAACAAGCAGCTCGCTGGCAGCTGCACTTGACTACCACCTAAAGGAAAAGGAAGAAATCAAAGTAAAGAGGGGTCCATGCCCCCTTATGAAAAAACATGTGCCTATTGTAAGAAGGAGGGACATGGGAAAAAGGACTGTCCCAAATTGACCAAAGCAGCTGGCAAGTGCAGTCTCCCTCCAAATCAGATGAGGAGAGAAAAGAATATTTAGATGAAGACTGATGCATCCCATGGAGTCCCTTAGACTTGGAGCAACCGGTGGCTATATCCCCACAGGAGCCCTGGATACAACTGACAGTGGGGAACAGATCGATGGACCTTTTAGTTGACACAGTGCCACATATTAAGTAAGTAACAATTGTCTCTGTCCAACTTTGGGAAAAACCATTATTGTTACAGGAATACTGGGAGACACCATTACCCCTCTCTACAGTCCTTAGGTTACCATTTAGGAGAGACCAGCCTAGAGCATAGTTTCTTGTACATACTTAATGCCCACTGGCCCTCCTGGGCTGGGATTTGCTTGCCAAATTGTATGCTCAACTTGTCTTTCGCCCCAGATGCCTAGACATAATGATTCCTTCTGAATAAGTTTGCAGGTTTCAACTATTCCTGCTCCAACCAGAGAACGAAGCAGTTCAGGACATTCCAGAAGAAATTCTCATGCAGGTAAGGAGAGATGTTTGGGCCTGGGGAAGCCAGGGAGAGTGGTCACAGCCAGACTCATAACAATTAAATAAAAAGAGAGACACAGAATATCCATTAAAGGAAGTGGCATGAAAGGGGACTCAGTCACTCTTGGAAGCCTTTTTTGGCACAAGGACTGATTTGGTCCTATAATCCTCCCTTTAACATTCCTGTTTTACCACCATGCAAGTCCCATTAAGACGACTACCAGTTTGTACAAGACTTAGGGCTAGCAATGAAATAGTCTAGGACATATACCCCATGGTACCTAACCGCTATGGCTATAGCTTGCTGATCACCTTATCAGGAGAACTATGTTGGTTTATAGATTTGGCTCAAAAAGATGCCTTGTTTTGCATTAGACAAGGAATCACAAGAGATCTTTGCATTTGAAAGGCTGAGGCTGGAACACAGGTTAATCAGCAGTACTGTCAGTGTTTTCTCAAGGACTTAAAAATTCCCCTACAATCTTTGGGAAATTTTTGGCATGGAAAGTAAGGGAACTTTGGCCGACAGGAGTGCTTTTACAATGTGTGGATGAAATCTTTGTTGTAAGACCTTAAGAGCTTTCCTTGAAAATACCACTCAAGCAGTGATTTTCCTAGTGGAAACAGGCTACTGGGTTTCCAAAAAGAAAGCCTGGATCTGCCAGAAGACAGTAAAATATTTCAGGTCTGAAGTGAATATGGGGCACAGAAACCCTCCCTGTGGCCACCTGGAGGCAATCGCCTGGGTAACTGTCCCCATCTCCTGTAAACAACCGCAATGATTTCTAGGAATGGTGGGATTCTGTTGAATTTGGATTCTGAATGTTAGGCCCTAAAAGGAAAAAAATCTGAGCCCCTGATCTGGACTTCAGAATACCAAAATTCTTTTATTAAAGTCAAAGAGGCCATGCGCGGTGGCTCATGCTTGTAATCCCAGCACTTTGGGAAGCCAAGGCAGTCCGATCACCTGAGGTCAGGAGTTCAAGACCAGCCTGGCCAACATGGCGAAACCCGTCTCTACTAAAAAATACAAAAATTAGCCAGGCGTGGTGGCAAGCACTTATAATCCCAGCTCTCAGGAGGCTGAGGCTGGAGAATCCAGTAGGCAGAGGTTCCAGTGAGCAGAGATCGATGCAGAGTTTGCTGACATCAAGGCAGAGGTTGCAGTGAGCAGAGATTGCACCACTGTATTCCAGCCTGGGCAACAAGAACGAAACTCCATCTCAAAATAAATAAATAAAGTCAAGGAAAAGTTAAAGACTGCCTCTGTGCTGGGCCTTCCAGATTTACGAAAGCCCTTTGATTTATTTATACACAAAAAACAAGGCATGGACTTGGGAGTCCTAACTCAAAACTTAGGAACTGACTGAAAACCGACTGCCTATTTCTCTAAAGTGTTACCAGGTCGCCAGGGGTTGATCCCCCTGCCTCTGAGCAGGTCTTCCAGGAGGCTGAAGGGGTAATGTGCTCAAACTGCCCTAAAACTGGGTCCTACCCACTTGGGGGTACAACATCCGGGGGACTCTCCATGCAAGCATTAGCAAGTTAATTTCACCACAATGTCACAGGCACCTGGAGGCTACCGGGCATCTTTTTGTACAAAACCCATCTTTCTGGATTTTTGTAGACACATTTACAGGATGGGAAGAGGTATACCCTATCCGAACAGAAAGGGCAGCCAAAGTGACCCACACCTTACTAAAGAGATAATTCCCCAGTATGAACTCCCTTTGATGAGTCAGAAAGACAATGGCGTGGTGTTCGTCTCTCAGGTAGTACAGGAAGTGTCTCAAGCCCTAGACACTGAATGGAAACTTCATGCAGCACAGCCACAGCCCATCAGAAAGACTAAAAAACTGAAACTATTTAAAGAGTAATTAGGAGGCGCAGTTGAGGCACCTTCGCGGCTCCGGCGCCTTTTACCCTCGCGTGTTCTCAGTCTTTGGTTTGCCAAGTGCAGTTAGGCCTGGCAGGTGCTGAAAGCCCGGGGTCGTGGACCCCGGCCAGCTCTCAGCAGCACGGAGGCTCAGGATGTCGCGGAGGGCGCGGGGGTCGGGGGCCGCCAGCGGCGTGCCCCACCCCGCGACCCTAGCCTCGGCTGCGGCTCCCACCCTGGCGCCAACCCCGGTGGCGGCTGCGGCCTCGCAGTTCACCCTGCTGGTGATGCAGCCCTGTGCTGGGCCGGACGAGGCCGCGGCTCCCGGGGGCAGCGTCGGGTCGGGCAAGTCCGTTAGGTACCTGTGCGAAGGGGCCGGGGATGGCGAGGAGGAGGCTGGGGAGGACGAGACGGACCTGCTGGACACCTCGGACCCTCCGGGGGGAGGTGAGAACGCAGCTAGTTTGGAGGATTTGGAGGACCAAGAGACCCCGTCGGGGGAGGGGCGAGGGCAGCAGCGGGGGCAGCATGAGCAAGACCTGCACCTACGAAGGCTGCAGCGAGTCCACAAGCCAGGTGCCCAAGCAGCGCAAGCCGTGGATGTGCAAGAAACACCGCAACACGGTGTACAAGGACTCACGCCTGTAATCCCAGCACTTTGGGAGGCCGAGGCGGGTGGATCACGAGGTCAAGAGATCGAGACCATCCTGGTCAACATGGTGAAAACCCGTCTCTACTAAAAATACTAAAAATTAGCTGGGCACGGTGGTGCGTGCCTGTAATTCCAGCTGCTCGGGAGGCTACGGCAGGAGAGTTGCCTGAACCCAGGAGGCGGAGGTTGCGGTGAGCGGAGATTGCGCCATTGCACTCCAGCCTGGGTAACAAGAGGGAAACTCCGTCTCAAAAAAAAAAGATGTACAAGGACAAGTATAAAAAGAAGAGCGACCAGGCCCTGAACTGCAGTGGGACGCTTCGACTGGCAGCGGGTAAACATCAAACTCAAGGAAAGTGCAGATAACATACTCTCCATTGTTGAACAAAGAACCGGATCTTTTGGGGATCGTCCTGCAAGACCCACTCTTTTAGAACAAGTGTTAAATCAAAAGACTGTCGTTGCTAAGAAGTCCAGAAGTAGTGCAGTTTTTACAGAGACAGCAACAACTATTAAATCAGCAAGTTGGATTCATTCTCTCCGTCACATTCAGGTACACCTATCAAACATAGATTAGGTCTTTTCACATAATCCCATATTTCTTGGAGACTTTCTTCATTCCTTTTTACCCTTTTTTCTCTAATCTTGCCTTCTCATTTTATTTCACTGAGTTGATCTTTGACCTCTGATATCCTTTCTTCTGCTTGGTCAGTTCAGCTGTTGAAACTTGTGTATGCTTCATGAAGTGCTCGTGTTGTGTTTTTCAGCTCCATCAATTCACTTACATTCCTCTCTAAGTTGTTTATTCTCGTTAGCATTTTGTCAAATCTTTTTTTAAAGGTTCTTAGTTTCTTTGCATTCAGTTGGAAGATGTTCTTTTGGCTCAGAGAAGTTTCTTATTACCGACCTTCTGAAGCCTGTTTCTGTCAATTCATCAGACTAATTCTCCATCCAGCCTTGTTCCCTTGCTGGTGAGGAGTTGTGATCCCTTGGAGGAGGAGAGGCATAAATTCTCAAAATCAGATATTTTAAAAAATGAAGCCTTTTTTTTTTTTTTGAGATGGAGTCTTGCTCTGTCACCAGGCTGGAGCACAGTGGTGCAGTCTCAGCTCACTGCAACCTCCGTCTCCTGGGTTAATGTGCTTCTTCAGCCTCAGCCTCCTGAGTAGCTGGGACTACAGTACATGCCACCATGCCTGGCTAATTTTTTTGTATTTTTAGTAGTGATAGGGTTTCACTGTGTTGGCCAGGATGGTCTTCATCTCTTGACGTTGTGATCCACCTGCCTTGGCCTCCCAAAGTGCCAGGATTACAGGCGTGAGCCACCGCACCCAGCAAACTGAAGCCATTTTTTAAATGGTCTGGTATGGTGCTCATGCCTGTAATCCCAGCATTAGGGAGGCGAAGGCAGGAGGATCACTTGAGCTCAGGAGTTCAAGACCAGCCTGGGCAACAAAGTGAGACCTTATCTCTACCAAAAATTTAAAAATAAATAAATAAATAAAACTGAAATGAAGCCAAGTTGCTCAAGCAGTCATCAAGTATTTACTAAGGCTTACTATGTGTTATGATATTGAAACAATTCTTTGAGCCAGCAAAGGCTTCTGGCTTCCTCTGCAAGTAAAAATAATTACCCTCCCCAATGATCTGTGTTCCACAGGTTAGCAGTAGAAGAGACAACTCAGAAAAAGCAAAGATAGGACAGGCACAGTGGCTCATGCCTGTAATCCCAACACTTTGGGAGGCTGAGGTGAGTGGATTTGCTTGAGCTAAGGGCAACATGGCAAAACCTGGACTATACAGAAAATTAGCCAGGCATGCTAGTCCACACCTCTAGTCCCAGCTACTAGGGAGGCTGAGGTGGGAGGATCACTTGAGCCCAGGAGGCAGAGTGACCTTAGATGGCACCATTGCACTCCAGCCTGGGTGACACAGCAAGACCCTGTCTCAGGGTGGGTACAGGGGGTAAACCACAACTCCACTGTAAGAGGCAACTGGAGAAAGATCCCAGCAATAATAAGACAGTAGTCTTGCCAAATATCCTCAGGCTTTAAATGGACATATTCTACTCTGTTCATCAAGGAACCTTTATAATCTATAAAAGTTTTCAAGTTTTCTGGACAGCTATACCCAGCTGATGACAATTACCCTGCCAGGTTAATTACTCACTGTAATTTAGTAGATTAGCAATCTCATGCATCAGTCTGTCTCTTGCTTCATTGACAGTCTATAAAAGTTCATCTATTCCTGTGTGAGACAGTATACCGGGCAATTCAAAGAAAGTTGGTCAAATCCCACACTGACTGCCAAAGAAAGAAATATCTACACAGAAATACCATGATTAAGGCCGGGCACGGTGGCTCACACCTGTAATCTCACCAGTTTGGGAGGCTAAGGCAGGTGAATCATGAGGTCAGGAGTTCAAGACCAGCCTAGCCAATATGATGAAACATGATCTCTACTAAAAATACAAAAATTAGCCTGGCATGGTGGCACAAGCCTGTAGTCCCAGCTACTCGGGAGGCTGAGGGAGAAGAATTGCTTGAACCTGGAAGGTTGGAGGTTGCAGTGGGCCAAGATAGCACCACTGTACTCCAGCCTGGGTGACAGAACAAGACTCTATCTCAAAACAAAAACAAAACTAAACAAAAAAACACAATTAATTACAGATCATGACTAGGTTCTAAAGAAATTATCTCCCACGTAGATTTTAATAGAAGTTTTGAACAGTTATAGAAAATAAAGATGTCCTTTGGGTCAACAGAATATAACAAAAACAATAAAAATTTCTGAACATAAACACGTATCACAAGTCTAGTCAGAAAGAAATACATAGAAAAATGAGATAGAATTTTAAAAAAATAATTTGCAAGGGAAATTCTTAATGCTTCAGTTCTAAAATACTCTCTTCATTTAGAAAAATTTAAGACTGGAATAACAGATTTTTTTTCCTGCAATGCTGTAATTACTGCAGATTTATCAGCAAAGAGGTAAAAAGTAATATAATTTTTCCATAAAGTTGAACACATAAGGGAACAATAAAGAAACCTCATTAGACCTGATCTAATTAAAAGTCCCACCAGTAATCTTCAGGCCAGCTCTGGTCTCCAGGTAGAATTCCAGGACAGGTTTGTATCACTGGGTCCATTCCCAATAGGCTGGATAGGATAGTCCGGAGTAATTGTCAGGACACCACCTCCTTCTCTCCTGAGCTGCTCGACTGGCATTTGGCTTCACATTCCAAGTGTACCTCCTGTGTGAATAATCTTCTCCAGGGGGACCAGGAGGAGGGATATGGACTCTCTGGTAAACATCTGGATTCCGTGAAAACATTCTTAAAGCAAAACAAAAAGTAGTAAGCCATTACTAGGATTAACAAAATAATTTTTATTTATTTTAAAATTATATTTTTATAAAGTATTTTAAATTCATAAATTTACAAAGTAATATATACTCTACTGTTTACTACCTGTATGACCTTGGCAGATAAACTACTTAACTTTTATTTCCCTAAGTTCTTTATAACATGGGGCTAATAACACTTTCCACCTTCATGAGCTGTTATGAAGCTAAATTAAGAAAATACATTTCAATTACCCACAATGCCCTGGCACAGAGTGGATTCCCAGAAGCCTTTCCACCTTTCCCTACAGAGATAAATGCATGGAATGCATGCTCATACTACTCTAATTAAGTACTTTCTCTCCCAATGTCTAGTAGGGTTGACATAAGACACAATAACCTATTTAGTACTGAGAACACACAGCCAGTTCCACTTTATAAACAAATATACATAAATTATAAACTGTAGAACAACTTTAACCATAATACATGCCACAAATTTGAAAAAATAGGATTTAAATTTACTTGTTTCAAAAGCAGTATCAGAAAATATCACATACAAAAGAAAATTTGGAAATCTCAGAAAAGAGCCAATAACCGCCTGCTGTAGAGCCCTCCATCCCACTTACTATAATTCAATTAATATTTCCTTTTGTTCTTGTCTCCAGCTTCTTTTTCTGACTGTTGAATCACAGCCTATTATTTTCACTTATGAAAAATGAGCTACCATTTTCAATGGCTTTCTAAAATGTTATAGTATAGATAGAATAATTATTTAGCTACCTTCTCCACTGTTGAAAATATAGCAACTACGAGCTTTTCTATGACCACAAATGATGCTGGGATTAACACTCTAATACATTTACTACTGGATCCTGAGCCAGCCCAGGGTCTGACACATGGTATGGAGTTTGAGAAATGTGCTGAAGGATTAAGTAAATACAGCTTTTCCTGCATTTTGAAGTATTCCCCTAGTGTCAAAATTATTAGGTAAAAAATTTTTATGGCTCTTGAAATTGTGCTTCAAAAGGCTTATACCAATTTTCACTGCCACTATCAACATGTTTTTGAAACATTTGTTTACACCTTTTAAAAATGTCAATTTTTTTGGCCATGGTCAGTGACTCACACCTATAGTCCCAGCACTTTGGGAGGCTGAGGCAGGCAGATCACCTGAGGTCAGGAATTTGAGACCAGCCTTTACAACATGGTGAAATCCAGTCTCTACTAAAAATACAAAATTAGCTGGGTGTGGTGGGTGGTGCATGTCTGTAATCCCAGATACTCGGGAGGCTAAAGCAGAAGAATCACTTGAACCTGGGAGGCGGAGGTTGCCGTGAGCCCAGACTGTGCCATTGCACTCCAGACTGGGCAGGAAGAGTGAAAATCTGACTCAAAAAAGAAAACAAACAGGGTTCCAACATGTTTCCCAAGCTGGTCTCCAACTCCTGTGCTCAAGCAATCCTTCCACCTTGGCCTCCCTAAGTGCTGAGCCAACATGCATGGCCTAAAAATGCCAATGTACTTTTGAAAGTGTTTACAATGTGCTAAACTGTTTAAATTCATGTTAACTGTCAACAGTAACCACTAAGGGGTATATATTACTAAACTCTCCACGTGACTGATGGAAAAATGGAAATGTAGACGGGCTAATTATCTTACCCAAAATCACAAAGCAGGTAACAGAGCCCAGATGCAAAACCAGGTCCAGCCTGACAACCACTACACTGGAGTACTTAGCAAAACGTCAGCTCATACCTGTAATCCCAGCACTTTGGGAGGCAAAAGTGGGTGGATCACCTGAGGTCAGGAGTTCAATACCAGCCTAGCCAACATCGTGAAACCCCCATCACTAGTAAAATAAAAAAATAAGCCGGGAATGGTGGCAGGTGCCCGTAATCCCAGCTACTCACAAGGCTGAGGCAGGAAAATTGCTTGAACCTGGGAAGTAGCAGTTGTAATGAGCCAAGATTGTGCCACTCTGTTGCACTCCAGCCTGGGCAACAGAGCAAGACTCCGTCTCCAAAAACAAAAAAAACAAAAAACAAACAAAAATAAAAAACACATTGTTGATAAATTAAGAGGCAAAGAATAATATCTTGCTATTTGTGATGATTAATTGTAGGCGTCAACTTGACTGGTTTAAGAGATACCTGGATAGTTGGTGAAGTACTGTTTCTGGGAGTGTCTGTGAGGGTGTTTCCAGAGGATACTGGTGTGTGAGTGGGTGGACTGAGTGGGAGGATACACCCTTAACATGGGTAGGTACCATCCAACAGGCCAGAGGCCTAGATAGAACAAAAGGCAGAGGAAAGGCAAATTGTGCTCTCTCCTAGAGCTGGAATACCCTACCTTCTCCTACTCTTGGACATCAGAATTCCAGGCTTCCTGGCCTTTGGACTTGAGGACTCGCACCAGTGTTCCCCCACCCTTACCAGATTTCCAGGCCTTCAGCCTTGGATTGAGAGTTACTCCACCAGCTTCCCTGGTTCTCCAGCTTGCAGACAGCCTACTATGAAACTTCTCAGCCTTCCTAAGTGCATAAGCTAATTCCCCTAATAAAAAAGCACTGCCACCCACCCATTCATCCATCGATCCATCCATCCATCCATCCATCCATCCATCCATCCATCCATCCAACTGGTTCTATCATTCTGGAGAACTCATACTAATGTACCACTTTAATCATACTGATGCTTCCCCCATTTTCCAAGTGAAAATACTTTTGTCTTTATTGGTTCAGATACTTTGCAATTTTTCCATTAGGATTTTAATATTTTTCTTATAATTCATATTAACTTTCTACCAACCTTCCTTATTCTAAAAGCTATACCACATTAATGTAGCCTACAAACATAAGACCCTTTTTGATAGGGTCTTATGAAACTCTTGGTCACATGAAACTCTTGGCTTAAATTCAATATCAATGAAAATTTCTAAGTCCCTTTCCCAGTTGCCTCTGAAAAGTCACATATTCCTGTCCTATAACTGATTTTTCCAGTGCTAAATGCAAAATAAAAAGCAGAATAATATCTCCTGGCTCAAATTGATCAGCAAGAATTCCTCATCAGTATCATAATGTGTTTTCATTAATTATCATAATAATTTCTATCTCAATATTAGAAAAAGGAAAGCAGAGAAAGGTACCTGACCGATTGCTGCAAATTTTGGGTCTGGGCGTGGAAATGCCGAGGAGTTGAATGACCCTGGATCCGATGTAGATTACACCTAGGTCTTTGTTTAACAGGCTTATTCATGGGGTAGGCTGGTTGCATGAAATGTGCTGAGTCTTCAAAACCACTTGAGCTGGGTACACTGGAATTCCAATTCCTTAAAGACAGTATTTCCACACAATATTACTGGTTTCCAAATTTAGTAGTCAATTTAGTGACTATATTTTGGCCTATGAAAATAACGATTTCTTCCTTTTCCCATTTCCATTTGTTTACATCTTCCCAAACAAATAAACTACCAGAGAATAGATATAGATATATGCAACTTAAATTATAGAAAAAGAGATCTCCCTGCCACATAAATCTCACATATAAAACACAAGAATTACGGATGTTGTGGCTCACACCTGCAATCCTAACACGTTGGGAGACCTACGCAAGTAGATCACAAGGTCAGGAGTTCCAGACCAGCCTGGCCAACATGGTTAAACCCCATCTCTACTAAAAAAAAAAAAAAAAAAAAAAAATTAGCTGTGCATGGCATGCCTGTAATCCCATGGGGGATTTGGGAGGCTGAGGCAGGAGAACTGTGTGAACTCAAGAGGCAGAGGAGGTTGCAGTGAGCCAAGATTGTGCCATTGCACTCCAATGTGGGCAATAGAGCAAGACGCTGTCATAAATAAACAAATAAACAAACAAACAAATAGACTTACTTTCTGATAGGACCATTCTGAAGGTCTTCAATGTAGTTTTTTCTTTCTAAGCAATGTCCCCGGCACCTATTGAATACTGAGGAGTGGATAAACTGTTAGAAATAACTGTACGAAAAGCAAATCTTTCCCAGAAAAAGTAAATTAGGCTAAAACGCACTATTCAGGCTGTGATATCTCACTACGTCCACAGACAGCTATAGACTTTTTGGCAAGACTATCTTATTTTGGAACAAATGAATTACAAACTTATTTTGTTACCAAAATTCAAGAAATTCTTGTACGTTTCCATCTTTAACTTTTACAAAAAGGGAAAAATAGTGACAACCCTCATACTTACATTCAATTGCATCATCTGGCCTCATGCCTTCTACATCAATCAAATATCTAACAAAACAACATAATTTGGGTCATTTATATATACGAAAAGAAAAAAAATCAAGATTTTTCAAAAAAGGTCCTATTTCAATGTATAGACATAGATATAAAAATCCTAAAAAAAATCAGCACATCAAATCCAGTAATTATTTAAGGATGAGAAACCATGACCACAAAAAGATGTTTTTCAAGAATGCAAGGATGACTCAACTTCAGAAGATCTATTTACGTATTTATTTACATTACTATAATTTAACTAATAAAAGAAAATACAGAATCATTTTTTATCAAAATGCGTTATATGCTAAAAATAGAGACTTCCTTAATATGACAGAGTATTAATGAGAAACCAACAACAAAGAAAAGAAAAACTGGGAAAAATATCAACATTATATCTAAAAACTACCATATAACCAACAGAATGGGCCAGAAACTTGGGAGTCACCATCACTGTCAGCCATTTCTTCCATACTCTCATTTTCAATCCACCACCAATTCCTGACAACAATATTACCTAAATATCCCTAGAATGTCTGTATCTTTCCAACAAAATGACCACCATCCCCTGGTCTACTCCACCACTATGCCTTAATTCCTACAAACACCTCCTAATGTGTCTCCTTGCTTCTACCTCTTTCCCTCTGCAGTGTATTCTCCACCCAGCAGCAAAATGATAGGCTAAAAATATAAATTTGTTTTCCACACTCATCCCCAACAAAAAAAAAATTCAACGGTGTTCTATTGTTCTTAAGGTAGTGACTAAAACCTTATACACAGCTCTGCATGGTTTTAGCTCCTACCCCTACTTCCAGCTCCATTTTAATGCCATACTTCCCCCATGGCCCAGTCTCCCTGGTCAGTTCCTCCAACACAATATATGTTTTCCTGTTACTTGGGCTTTGCTGATCCTTAATGTTCAGAATTCTCTCCACAACAGCTCTATCTGGTTGACACCGACTCATACTTCAGATAGTTGCTCAGACCTCTCCACAGAAACCTCTAGTCCTCTCATTGAAGTCAAATCCTCCCTGTTCTATGCTCTCATTGTACCACGTCCCTCTCCTCCTCAGCACTTGTCAGAGTTGTAATTCTATAGGCATTTGTGTGATTCCTTACTATCTACTCCCTCCCTATACTGTTAGGAGGCACAGGGCAGCTGAAGTCTCTTTGCTAGCACCCAGCACAGTGCCTCCACATAACAGAAGCTCAGGAGATATTTTATGAATGAACAAACATAAATCAGTACAGTGAGGCAACACCCATGAAAAGCGTAAGGACACATATGATTTGATTCAGAAATTCTACTTTGAGTGAAATAACCTCTAGGGCTATGGCATATGTATTAAAAAATGTTTATATAGAAATGTTCACTACTACCTCAATGTTTTATAATATCAAAATTTCTGACTTCTGTGTTCATTGGTATGCAAAGGAATGCAGCCCTTAAAAAGAACGAGTAGTCCAAGTACTTTCCAAGAAAGATGTCTATCACACATTAAATTCAAAAACAATGTCTATTATACCATTAAATCACATGTATGTTTCTATCTGCATTTTTAGAGTCTGAAAAGATGTGTACTAAATTATTAATGGTGGTAATCGCTAGGTGGGATCAAGACGGCCTTCTACCTCATGTATTTCTGTACTGGTTGCATTTTTTTTTTTTTTTACAAGTTTACATTGTAGACAGACAAAAACAACTTTAAAATGGTCTACCTCTGGGGTCAGCAACTTACCTACAAATGAGGTAGCCAGTCCTGTTTAACCCATGGGTACAGTGGACACCTATAAGTTTATCTATAAAAAGAAAATATAAGGTTAAGTAACTGAAGCAGACACAGAAGTGTGTAACATTACACTGCCCTGAAAATGAATAACTCTGAAGAACAATTCTTTTTTTTATGAACACACTATAAAGAATCCTCTAACACAATGCCAGAATTCATTGCTTCTGGGAAAGTTTGCATAGTCCCAATTAGACTCAATGATGTAAACTACAGGCCTGGTAAGACACTAAGAGCCAAAAGTGCAATGAGACAAACCATCTATCTTAAAATAAAGAATGCCCATCAGTAATCGATTTAATTATACAAAAAGAGAATGAAAGCAATAACAGGCTATGAGAAGAATGAAATTTGTTTCTGAATGAAACTAATGAATTGCCTCCCCTCTTGATGCTGGAATAGTAAGGACAGTTTCCATAGTACTCAAGTTCCCAAAGAGCTTCCATTCCTTCTCTCATATGGTGCTCCACACATGCCACAGGTCTATGTGCCCTGTGAAGTACTCAGGTAAATAGCACTATTCACACTTTAGTATAAAAATGCAAGGCAAACAGTACAAGGCTAGAATAAACCCTAAGAGTTTTCCCATTAAACCACAGTATTTCTTAGAACATTCTTTAAAAAAATCATATAAGGAATTAAATAAAGAAACGTATAGTTTATCCTTGCAAAATCTGTGTCTGTGACTATGTAGCATCAGGTAAAGAAGTCAGTCATTGGCCAACTGCAGTGGCTCATGCTTTTCAAGCCTGGTCAACATGGTGAAACCCTGTCTCTACTAAAAGTACAAAAAGTTAGCTGGGTGCTGTGGCAGGTGGCTGTAATCCCAGCTACTCAGGAGGCTGAAGCAGGAGAATCGCTTGAATCTGAGAGGCAGGGGTTGCAGTGAGCTGAGATCACGCCACTACACTCCAGCCTGGGTGACAGAGGGAAACTCTGCCTCAAAAAAAAAAAAAAACCAAAAAAGAAAAAACAAGGCACTCATTATTGCCTGGATTACTACAACAAATTAATCTCCCTACTTCTATCTCAATTGATCCTCCATATAGCAGATGTTGTCTTTCTAAAACATAAGCCTGTGTTGTTTTTGCTTAAAAATCTTAATTTAGCATAGCATGAAGCCCAAACTTAGCATGGCATTTAGAATCCTTTATCAACTGATATCAATCTGTCTTTCCAACTGATCCACATCCACAATGATCCTAAGTATGATTTACAAGGGCCTATATGATCCTCCTCCCTTCTGCCCACCCCTAACCTCTTGGATCCCATTTCTCCCACTCTGACATTGCTGCCACTCCAGCCACACTGGCCTCTTTACACTCCTCAAACATGCCTAGCACAGTCATGCCTCAGGGACTTTGCACTGCTGTTCCCTCTACTTTGGAACACTCTTCTCCAGACACCCAATGACTTGGTTCATTACTTCCTTTAAGGTTCTGCTCAAATGACACCTTCATAAAGAGGCCTTCCTGATCACTCACCTCTTCTCTCACCCCTTTATCCTATTTTGGTATTCTCTAAAGCACATATGTATTCCATATATCTATTTGCTTATTTCTCTCCCCCACTAGAATGTAAAGTATGTAAGGGCAAGGACTTTGTTCTATTCCCACTTTTTAGAAAAGTGTCTTCAACTTAGGTTATATAATTATTTGTTGAAAATGAACATATGAACTCCATGCCTTTTCACACTATCTTCTAGTCATACATGAGGCTGCCTCTCCATGGATTTAAGCCTGGTGCCTCTTGTACCTAATCCCCAAAACTGGGCTGTCCTGTTCTCATCCTGGCAAAATTCTCTTCTCTGCAGCTCGAATGTTGTCTCCAGTGAGGCCGTCATCAATCTCTCCTCTATATTCTCACTGTAATTAATTCATTCTTTATAAGGAACTGTCTTTTTGTCTATAATCGAAGTCTTAAACCACATACACTACATGTTTATTTTCCTAGATAACTGTGAGCTGCTATGATAAAAAACAAAAACTGCTAACACCTCTGTGTCCTCATGCTTTAGCAAGAAATCTAAAAGGATCTCCGTGTTTACTGCATCAATTTGTTTTGAGTCTCCACCAGTTCTAGAACACAGTGGAGAGTGTAGTGTCCTCTTTTCATCAGTGAGCCTGGTGTCTGTGGGAAGGGTTTATAGCAGAGGTAGCCAAACTGATTACAAACAAGGTCCCAAGCCTGCTATGGAAGTGGGTACTGCAAGACTCAGCCAGCCAGCACAGCTCAGGCAGAAGACCAACATGGAGTCCAGTCTATCCATCTGACTACGATCAGTGTAACATGTGAACAACTAAGATTTAAAAGAGTGTTCTCATGTGTTCATAAGGACCTCCTAGCCCGCACAGAACAGATGAGGTGCAATATAAAAGTTTCACATAAAAGAGCCTGGCAGCAGTGAACAGGCCATCAGCTGTACCCTCATATCTTAAAAGGTGGTATTTCTGTGACAACAACTTACACAAATGAGAAAGCCAAACCTCTCAAGTTTTAAAGTTAAAGTACAGGGGAAGATCTGTGAACAAGGAAGATCTGTTAACATAATTAAAAGCTAGTGTCTACATTAAATGACTGACTGGGTTGTAATTGGACATTTTATCTTCATACCCACTGACCCAGTCTCTACCTCTCATCTTCCATTCCCTATCTTCCCCCCTCTGTCTCTATTCTGTCTCCACTACTCCATCACATTTTTTAAAAAGGAATATTTACTGTCAGATTTATGTAATAGAGTGTACACTCCTCAAGCTAAATTTGGAAAAAGGGAAAATGAAGGCTTTGTCCTGTGGGTGTCAGTGGCTTTCTAAACACAAAAGTTTCTTCAGACTTAAAATGCAGTAAGCATCACGTTCTTTCTGGCAGGTAGATGCCAGAAAAAGGCAACTGGATCCTTAAGATAAAGAGGCTATTAGGTTCTATTTTCAACAGAGTAAGGTAAATCTTAAAGCAGGAACAAGAAAGCACCAACCTTTGGTTTACATTATCCCTCGTGAAGAATAAGAGGTGATGGTAACCTTTCTCATCTGTACTCAAAGTGGAAAAACAGCAAAAATATCTTAAATACATATGACAAAGGGGCAATTCCACTGGTGCACCCCTTCTTGTTTTGCTTCTAGGGGACTGTCCCATTCCTAATCATCTTACCCTGTTAGCACCAGCTGACATTTTCATCATCTTAGCATTATTAAATACAACAGATCTAAGGTTACAACTATAAAAACTACCAAAAATTTCCCATCTCCATTCATAATACACACCAAAGTTCAGATAAGAACAAAAACTCACCGTTATCTTTATTTTCTTTCAAAAACACATTAACAGCATGTTTGAATTTAAAAATAGTCTCATCATCAGGCACTTGATGCCCAACCGTAAAAATTTTTAAGTAAGGAATAGTTTCTGGCAAATCCTATAAAGCAAAACCATACAAGTTGTGTATTATTTCATTTGCAGAGAAAGAATTAAAGAGTAATTAGGGGTCCCAGAATATAAGCCAAGAGATTATGATAAACTTAATATGCCAATATCAGAATATGCAATTCTGATAAAAGAGCCATTTCTTCCAACACTGCTTCAACCAGGAAGTATCACTTGATTTTCAATAAAACTACACCATAGTCAATAGATGTCTAAAACTGAAAGCAAATTCCATATGAATGAATGCATATTTAACTATAAATTACATAAAGAGTTCCATTTAATATTTTACAGTTCAAGAGCCAGAGCCTGCGTAAAGCAGCTACGATTTAAGTAGAAGAGTAGAACAGAGTCAGAAGAACTTGGATTTGAATTGTGAGATGGAGGGAATTCCAGGCACTGTTGAGAACTGATATTCTTGGCTTGGAAGAAAAGTAGATTCAGATAAAAGCCAAAAGAGGGTATGTGAGAATCATTTTAACCATCGGAAAGTGTATCATTCAGTGGCATTACATTCGTAGTATTGTGTAACCATCACCATTGTCTATACACAAAATGTTTTCATCATCCCCGACAAAAAGACTCTTAACCATTAAACCATAATTCCCGTTTCTCCCCACATCCTAGATCCTTTAGTTTGATTTCTGTCTCTGTGAATTTGTCTATTCCAGGTACTTCATACAAGTGGAATCACATATGTGTCCTTCTGTGTCTGGTTTATTTCACTAAGCATGATTTTTAGGACTCATCCATATTGTAGCATATATTCAATTTATTCTTTTTTTAGCTGAATAATATTCCATTGTGTGCATATACTATGTTTTGTGTATCCATTCACGTATTGATGGACACTTGGGTTGTTTCCACCTTTTGGCCATTTGACAAATGCTGCTGTGAATACTGGTGTACAGGTTATTTGTTTAAATCCTTGCTTTCAGTCCTTTTAGAACTGAAGTTCTGAGTTTAAATGGAGAGTATCAGCATGAACTCAGGAGGTATCTTACATTACAAACCAACATATTTCCTAGCACTGTACACAGAGAACAACTAGAAACAATGACCGTAGAAGCACTGAGCACCTCTCGCACTCAGACTGTATTCTCTAAATATCACTCCCACCAAAAGTAATCAAAAGCTCCTTGGGAAAATGGCTGAGTTCAGGGTGGGGCAGGAAATGTACAAGATAAGCCTGGAATATTTTTTCATATAAATAGCAAAAAAAGAGTGATCAAAGTTTACTAGGATTGGATCAAAAGGACTCAGGAGACAATCTAAGAAGCTCCAACCTCCAAAGACAGGGCCTCAATTTTGTGCTTCAATTTAAAAAAAGGGGAAAGAACTAAATTTAAGTTTTAGGTCATCCTTTGTTGAGGCTGTTTTATCTTCTGTAAAATTATGTATTAACTGTAATCATTTCTCCTCTGAGCACAGAAAAAGCACTCAACAGAAGATGTTAGTACAACTGCTACTTCATCAGCACAGGATTGCTGAGTAGATAAGCTAATACATGTGAAAGTACCTTTTTTTTTTTTTTTGAGTTGAAGTCTTCCTCTGATGCCCAGGCTGTTGCGCAGTGGCATGATCTTGGCTCACTGCAACCTCAGCTTCCGGAGTACAAGCAATTCTCCTGCCTCAGCCTCCCTAGTAGATGGGATTACAGGCGTGCACAATCACACCTGGCTAATGTTTTTGTATTTTTAATAGAGATGGAATTTCGCCATGCTGGCCAGGCTGGTGTCAAACTCCTGACCTCAGGTGATCCATCCACCTCAACCTCCCAAAGTTCTGGGATTACAGGCAGAAGCCACCACACCCAGCTGAAAGTACTTTTTAGGTGGCAAACTGCTGCACAAATATTAACTAACATTAGGTGTTACTGTTTCCAAAAGCCATGGAACTGGTCAGAAAAAGGATCACTCTTTCACACTGAGATACAAAATGGGGCCAAAACAATATTTGAATCTCTGTATTGTATCAACAAACACTGGGAAAAGAAATCATAAACTTAAGAGAACTGTCTTTTACCAGGATACTTACACATGGCTCAGGCAACTGCTTAAAGTAAGTGCTAAGACATATCGGATATTCCTTTCTTTCCTCAGGCCACTACTAGTATTAGCAAGTTTACTTCATTTTCAAAATATAGATTATGGAAGCTTATAGAATTTCTTAGGCACACACACAGCCTACTGCCAAATATTTTAGTTCATTTTTTCGATTTCATTTGAGACAGCAATTAAAAACATAATTAAGGAAATCACTTGGTTCTTTTTTAACCTTACTACTCATCAAAGAAGGTCAGGCTTCACAGTAGCACAAGATAATTACTGAATTATTATTGAATCACTATAAATTATTTTAGTACCAGAATAAAGAACTTTTCAATTAAGGGTTCCACTTACCTCTGGTTTATAATAGCGTTGAGTATATGTTAAATCAATAATCAGTCCAAGTTCTTCATTTTGCTCTCGGACTTTGTTAAAAAGATCCAAAGGGGAAAAACATTCTTCTGGAGCAAGTTTCTTTTCAAAACTCTGTCAGAGAGAATGAAATCAGAGCAAATATGTGCTTAAAATTCTATATTACATTATGCATTTATTCAAGTCCTGTGATGCTTACAATGAGATTCAAAGGAAAGTTTCCACTCTCTTGGAACGCAGAAGGTACATTTTAACAATCTTTTCTGCCAGAGTGATCAGAAAGAAAAAAAATAAGCCCACTTCAAATATTTATTTCTGTATTCATTTCATGTTGGTCTTCTAATAAGACTGCAAACTCCCAGATTTTATTCACCACTGTAGCTCTGTCATCCTGGCTGGAGTACAGTGGCAGAAACATGGCTCACTGTAGCCTCCACCTCCCAGACTGAAGCAATCCTCCATCTCAGCCTTCCTATTAAGTGAGACTATAGGTATAAATCACCACGTCCAGGTTATTATTATTTTTTTTTAAGAGATAGGGTCTTACCATGTTGCCCAAGCTGATCTCAAACTCCTGAGCTCAAGTAATCCTCCTGTCTCAGCCTCACAAATATTTCTTACATGTCTACATATATGAAGGATGGCCTTCATTGCTAAATATTCTTTTATGTATATGTGGCTTATTTTTTAACTTTGTGCTCTGTTCCTTCAATCTGTCTGGCTATTCAGGTGCCAGCAACATACTTTTTAAAAAATATACTAGTTTTCAGAGCAGTTTTAGGTTCACAGCAAAACTGAGCCAAAAGCACAGACACTTCTCACATGTACTTCCCTTTTCCCACCCCACCGGGACTCCCCCACTATCTACATTCCATACCAGTGTGGTGCATTTGTTACAACTGAAGAACCAATTTTGACACATCATTATGACCAAAGTCTAGAGTTTAGGTATGCGTGATTCATTCTGTGTTGTGCATTACATGTACATATTATGTTATGCATATTTTGCAACAAAAAAAATGAAAGAAGTTCAAGTTTTGATTCTTCCTTTTCTGAGCTGCTTCATTATCTATAGAATTATTTATTAGTTGTAACCATCTATCCTCTGAGCTAGTGCAGAATAAGCACTCAAGAAGAGATATTAGTACTACTGCTACTTCAGCACAGGATTGTTGTGAAATATGTTATGATATGTGAAATCCTTTTACGAGTTTCGATCAATATATAATGGCATGTATCTACCCTTATAATATCATAGAGAATAGTGTCACTTCCCTAAAAATTCCCTGTACCTCCAACAACTTTTTTTTTTTTTTTGGAGACAGGGTCTCGCTCTGTGGCCCAGGCTGGAGTGCAGGGACATGATCATGGCTCACTGCAGCCTTGACCTCCTGGGCTCAATCGATCCTCCCACCTCAGCCTCTTGAGCAGCAGAGACCACAAGCACGCACCACCATGCCTAGTTAATTTTTTTGTAGAGTCAGGGTTTCACAATGTTGCCCAGGCTGGTCTAAAACTCCTGGACTCAAGCGATCCACCCACCTTGGCCTCCCAAAGTACCGGGATTACAAACATGATCCACCGGGCCTGGCATGAAATGACTCACTTTTAAGCCCAGACATGCAGAGAAGCTGACATAGCAGTTGAAAAAGGAAATCTGATCTATGAGTCACAAATTAAGTAAATTCCCAAAACATTTCAAGTGGGTTTCTCCTGATACTAAGCTGAGTTATGCTGGGTAAGTCTGAAGACACAGAATCTAGAAAACAATATTTGTCTTCACCTTCTCATCTTTTTTATGGCTGTCAAAAGCTGTTCCCTCCTATTCTTTTCCTAGTTCAAAAAAAAAAAAAAAATGACAATCTTGAGATTTTCCACACTGAAACGCTAACCTTGACCAGGGCATATTTTTTATTGCAACTATGGGAGGAAAAGAGGCCCACTGACATTCAGTGGGTAAGGGTTACAAATTCTAGACAGCTTGCCAAATTCCGAACAGCCCTACAAATGTGTCCCACATCCTGATTGGCTTTTGAATGCCCTATTCAACATTAATATAGATAAAAAGCTGTTCATATTTAGCTTGGCCCTAGAACCTCACTCCATTTCACAAATAATTACAAATTATTTTTGTACAATTTTAATATATATTGAATTTTCCAGGATAGCAATCACTTTATCAACCAAATGAAGAGTATACTTCGTTTTGTTTGGAAATCTATTACAGAAAGTCCTACCACTAAGGCAGTATCAGCCACCTAGATCAGTCTACATTTGTAGTTACTGAATCCAAGGCACAGGCAACTATTACTCTGTCTTTTAATGCGGTTATGTCCAAGCATTTACATACAGAAATAAATATTAGTTTATTATAAATTACTTTTATTTTATTCTATATATTATAGTTAGGGTATAAATTGGCATTTTTCTTTAAAATATTGAAGCAGGTTGTATGTACCTATGAACTTCATCTCAGGATGGTAAAGGTGTCATTACAAAGCACTTGGTAAAAAAAGAGAAAATGGAATGTGATAGAGCTGAGAACAGTGTTCTGCATGGTGAATTTAGATGTCTGAAATACTGAATTAACCTTTGCTTACCTTTTGCAAAGGAACTTTGAAAGCTATGAAACGAGTCCCAGGCATCCGCTGGCCAATTGGGAGATAGTCTTTCCACCTATTAGATACATTTTTTTGTTAGCCAAATTGTATGACAGCTTCATCTCACTGCACAGAATAAGACTTCTTGAAAACGGGAATCACAGCCCACATCACATGTCCTCTCTTCTCTCTGCTTTGCATTTTGCCACTCCACTTATTCAACCCCACCAAGTAACGACCTATACTGTCTTTCTCTCCTGTTTCCCATCATGAAAATGGAAACACGGCAACAAAACAGCACAAAGTAATCATCAAATAAGGCCTATATAAAAAAGAGATACCCAGAATTTCTATATCCCTGATAAAAGTTAGCCAAGTGCCAGATACTAAAGTGCCATTAACACAAACATATTCACTGAAATAATTCAAATTCTATTTCACTTCATGGTTTTAGTTTTCATACAACTGATGCCATCAAGTTCAATTACTATGAAACCTCAAGTTCATAGTTTAAGAGAAAACCTGCTAGAAGAGGGTCTGTGAAGTTCACTTAATAATGCTAAGAATTCCAATGAATAGCATAAGTTAGAATTAATGGCAAGGCACAGTGGCTCACCCTTGTAATCCCAGCACTTTGGAAGACCGAGGTGGGGGGGATCACCTGAGGTCGGAAATTCAAGGCCTGCCTAACCAACATGGAGAAACCCCGTCTCTACTAAAAAAAAAAAAAAACGGTGGTGCATGCCTGTAAATCCCAGCTACTCAGGAGGCTGAGGCAGGAGAAACACTTGAATCTGGGAGGTGGAGGTTGCAGTAAGCTGAGATCGCACCACTGCACTCCAGCCTGGGCAACAAGAACAGAACTTCTTCTCAAGAAAAAAAAAAAAAAAAAAATTAACTAGGGTTAATTCAGTATATATGAAGCACACAGAAAGTGAGGGCAAGCAAAAGTGGCAAGAGATGGGGCTGGAGAAGGAGAGGGGATCCCAGATCATGCACAGCTTCATACTATAGACAAAAACGAGTTCATTTTTACTCTCTAAAAAAAGTTTTTTTTATTTGAGAAAGAGTCTCACTCTGTTGCCCAGGCTGTAATGCTGTGGCACAATCTCGGCCCACTGCAACCTCCACCTCCCAGTTTAAGCCATTCTTGTGCCTCAGCTTCCTGAGTAGCTGGGATTACAGGCACCTGCCACCACACCCAGCTAATTTTTCTACTTTTAGTAGAGGCCGGGTTTCTCCATGTTGGCCAAGCTGGTCTCGAACTTCTGACCTTTAGTGATCAAGCCCACTTGAGCATCCCAAAGTGTAAGGATTACAGGTGTGAGCCACCGCATCCAGCCCTTTTTTACTCTTAAAACAATGTTAAGAGCAATGGTCATGAGCAATATTCCAATTCCAATTCGATTTCAATTTTTACTAATTACCTATCAAAAAGATTTCTTGGCCAGGTGCAGTGGCTCATGCCTGTAGTCCCAGAATTTTGGGAGGCTGGTGAATTGCTTGAGACCAGGAGCTCAAGAAAATCCTAGGCAACATGGCAAAACCCCGTCTCTACAAAAAATAAAAATACAAAATACAAAAATTAGTTGGGCATGGCGGTGCACACCTGGAGTCTCAGCTACCAGGGTGGCTGAAGTGGGAGAACTGAACGAGCCTGGGAGGTTGAGTTGCAATGAGCTATGATAGTGCCACTGCACTCTACATTGGGTGACACAGCAAGACCCTATCTCAAAAAAAAAAACAACGATTTTTTTTTTTTTTGGTTGTCAAGAACAGATTGGGCGGGGCGCAGCAGCTCACACTTGTAATCTCAGCACTTTGGGAGGCCGAGGCAGGTGGATCACCTGCGGTCAGGAGTTCAAGACCAGCCTGAGTGATGCGATGAAACCCTGTCTCTACTAAAAATACAAAAAAGATTAGCCGGGAGTGGTGGCAGGCGCCTGTAATACCATCAACTTCGGAGGCTGAGGCAGGAGAATCTTCCACTTGAACCCTGAAGGCAGAGGTTTCGGTGAGTGGAGATCGGGCCATTGTACTGCAGCCTGAGGGACAAGAGCAAATCTCCGTCTCAAAAAAAAAAAAAGGCCAGGTGCGGTGGCTCAAGCCTGTAATCCCAGCACTTTGGGAGGCTGAGACAGGTGGATCACGAGGTCAAGAGATCGAGACCATCTTGGTCAACATGGTGAAACCCCGTCTCTACTAAAAATACAAAAAAAAAAAAATTAGCTGGGCATGGTGGCGCGTGCTTGTAATCCCAGCTACTCAGGAGGCTGAGGCAGGAGAATTGCCTGAACCCAGGAGGCGGAGGTTGCAGTGAGCCGAGATTGTGCCATTGCACTCCAGCCTGGGTAACAAGAGCGAAACTCCGTCTCAAAAAAAAAAAAAAAAAAAAAAAAGAGAAGAAAAGAAAAAGAAAAAAAATTAGTAGAACGATTGGATGGAAACAAAAAGGAGATCCAGCAATTAGAACCCAATTGTAACAGGTCAGGCAAGACGCTGACAGGTTACAGTCGATAGGACATAATATGAAGAGGATTTACTGAGGTATGAGATGGTGGAGGATGGTCTCAAGGAGTAAAAACAGTTCGCTGCACATACGTGCAAAGTCTCAGAATTAATCATTTCTACGTATAAAGGAACATCTCTCAAACGAGGCCTGTTAGGACCTAACAGTGTATGCTCTTTGTGATTTCTGAAAACAATACAAACCAACTTTCCATGTGAGATCACAGGGCGCTACCATTGCTGGGTTCTAAAATCATTACACTTTCCATGCCAAGTAACAAGGATTTGAGGAGGTTCTATTTTGGGAATTAAGGAGTGTCCCCAAAAGTAACCGTCCCGCCTTAAAGCAATCCTTCCGTATTTTTTACCTAAGCACTGGCCAGAACTAAGGAGAAATAAAGGACATCACAAACATTGCCCCTTTTAGCTACAGCGGGTGGCGAAGAGGGTCAAAGCCTCAAAGAAAGGGCTGGACAAGCCAAGCCTGTGACAGCAAAAGTGAGACGCAGGGAACATATAAGATGAAGCCCACGCCTAGAAGCCATGAGCTGGAAAGGCCATGCCAAGGGATATTACCTTTCGGGGATGTGGTTTCCGCCCTTCTTCTTGGCCGAGGAGCGTCCCAGAAAGTCGCGTCCCCGACCCCAGCCACTGCCGGGATGATGCCATTGGCTCATATGGGTCCCAAGAAGCCGCCTACCCAATGCCAAGCCGGCCAAAAGCGCCAGTCCGGCGCCCTCAGTCCCAGAATAAGATCCTAGACCGGAAGACTCGCAAGCCACCCACTCAGCGCTCCGGCGTCTCGCTATTGCGCATGTCGGCGCATGTCGGTCGTGAGGGCGTAACCACGCAGGCTTACTGAGAGGCTTGATTTGTAAACAAGACTTTGGTGGCTACAGCGCCCTCTTTAGCCAGAAGCCGGTAGCACAGGTCAATGAGGGCGTGTAATACCCTTCAGAATTCAGTGTTAACAGTGTGGCGCAGGGAAGTCCCTCTGTCCCTCCCCCGAGCACCCACCCCGCACCCGCGTTCCTTGTGTGTTCTTACTAGATATTTACAAGTGCTTACACTCACATTTTGCATATGATGTATAAATATTTACTTTCACACATACGTCTCCTCTATTTTTACACAAAAAGAGCAACTAAACATAATCTACAATGTATCTCGAACACTGATTTTCCCAATTTATGCATACCTCAATTCTATTTTTTTAGTGGTCATAGGGAATTTATGGGATTATCAGTACTATAATTAAAAGTACCATAATGTATTCAGCCAATTCAATGGTAATGGATCTTTAGTTTTCAGGTTCTACAATGCTGTAATGTGAACATCCTTATACACATATACAGCTATATCTAAATTCCTAGAAGTAGAAGGTCTAGAATAAAAAGCATACAAACTTAAAATTCTGAAAGATACTAACCTAATTATCATTTAAAAATAATGCACAAACATCCACTCCCATCACAGCCAAACTTTTATTGAGTTCTATCACATACTAGGTATCATGCTAGAAGTAGTCAGAATGTAGTTAGGTTTTAGCAAATACCAAAAATAACCAAAAGTGGAGCTCAAGTCCAAGGTTTCCACACAGTCTCAAGCACAAAGATCTGTACCTGTTAGAAAAACGTTGAATTCTGCTACAAGGGGAACAGCAAAGGAACAACAGCATGCCCTATAGCAGCTCTGAAAACAGAATAGAATACTAAATTCCAGATTAAACTGTAAGTAATTAGGATTGCAAATTTTTAAAAGTAACTTTTACTTTTTACTTGTTAATTTATAAAACTATCATATATATATATATATATATATATATATTTTTTTTTTTTTTTTTTGAGACGGAGTTTCGCTCTTGTTACCCAGGCTGGAGTGCAATGGCTCAATCTCGGCTCACCGCAACCTCCGCTTCCTGGGTTCAGGCAATTCTCCTGCCTCAGCCTCCTGAGTAGCTGGGATTACAGGCACACGCCACCATGCCCAGCTAATTTTTTGTATTTTTAGTAGAGACGGGGTTTCACCATGTTGACCAAGATGGTCTCGATCTCTTGACCTCGTGATCCACCCACTGAGGCATTACATTTTCATCATCCCCTGCAAAAACAAAAAAAACCCATCTACCCATTAGCAGTTACTCTTCATTCCCTCCTCCCAGGCAACCACCAATCTCTGGATTTATCTTTTCTGGACATTCCATATAAATGGAACCATACAATTTGTGACCTTTGGTATCTGGCTTCTTTCATTTAGTACTACATTTTATTTTATTTTCTGTTTTAAATTTTTTACAATTTAGCTTAATTTTAATGTTTCCCGAGTGTTATTTTTACCAGGTACGCAGGTTTAAATTATGAATATTGACAGCATCCATTATATAACCACACTTGCAGTTATTAAGGATTTAATCATTTTCTAATATTAGCCTATTTTCTACACTGCTTTTTCACATATAGGCCCATTAACAAATAGGTAAAGTGCAATTTAAAAAATATATATATATATGAAAGAAAAAAAAATCAGTCAGTCTTATCTTGTTCTTCTGGCCACTATAAAGTGACTCATATAATTTTTGCCAAATTAGCCATTTTTTCTTGGCATTAGATAGACAAGATTTTAGCTTTTGTTTGTTTTTGAGATGGAGTTTTGCTCTTGCTGCCCAAGCTAGAGTGCAGTGGTGCAATCTCAGCTTACTGCAACCTCCACCTCCTGGTTTTAAGTGATTCTCCTAACTCAACTTCCCAAGTAGCTGGGATTACAGTCTGGCTAATTTTTGTATTTTTAATAGAGACAGGGGGAAAAAATGGAATGTCTGTTACATTTCTCGGTTTGAGTGTTTCTGGAAAACTGCAGTATGTGTGAAGACCAATTTCCATGCTGGCATTGCATGCATCCAAATATTAATACACAGAGGCACAGAATTACAGCAACAAAAGAGCATATTTCAACACTGGCATGCCCCGTTCCCCTGGTTATTGCTTGCTTTGCTTAGTCATTTAGTACTACGTTTTAAAGGTTTATCTATGCTGTAGTGTGTGTCTGAACTTTATTGCTTTTCATGTGGCATAATCTCATTGTATGACTACACCACATTGGCTTATCCATTCATCCGTTACTAGACATTTGGGTGTTTCCACTAGCAATCTATATTTATTGAGAGTTTATTCTGTGCCAGGCAGCACCTGGCTAAGTTATTCACCCATTTCACAGATAAGGAGGCAGAGAGTCTTAAGAATTTGTCCAAGATTAAGGGCTAGCTAGCAAGTGCTAGCAATAGCTGGGATTTGAACTCAGGCATTTTAGACTTCAAAGGTAATAGATTCACATGACAGAACACTAGAAAGACATAATATGGTGAGAATGGAAATTCCCCCTTTCCCCAAGTTTCCCAGTCACCACCTATCCCCTCCCTTAGAGGCATCTACTTTTGCCACTTTAAAGAATTCTTCCAGAGAATTTATTTATTTATTTATTTTTTGAGACCGAGTTTCGCTCTTGTTACCCGGGCTGGAGTGCAATGGCGCAATCTTGGCTCACCGCTACCTCCACCTCCTGGGTTCAGGCAATTCTCCTGCCTCAGCCTCCCGAGTAGCTGGGATTACAGGCATGCGCCACCATGCCCAGCTAATTTTTTTGTACTTTTAGTAGAGACGGGGTTTCACCATGTTGACCAGGATGGTCTCAATCTCTTGACCTCGTGATTCACCCGCCTCGGCCTCCCAAAGTGCTGGGATTACAGGCGTGAGCCACCGCGCCCAGCCCTATTTATTTATTTTTACCCCAACATGTAAGAATTACAATTTACTGAATAATCTGCCCCATTGGTTTGAAATGTCACTTTTATGTATACCACATTTCTATATGTGTTTCCATTACTCTTTTCAGAACCGTTCTTTTTTGCCTATCTTCTATATTTGCCATTTCTCTAGAATCCTTTTTATTAACTTCTTTTTGATTTTTAAAAATTTCTTCTTTTTTTAAGGTTTTATCCATTATGTTCATTCATTCTTTTTCTTTTTTTCTTTGAGTCTTACTCTGCTGTCCAGGCCGGATTTGCACTGGTGCAACCTCAGCTCACAGCAAACTCTACCTCTTGGTTCAAGTGATTCTTGTACCTCAGCCTCCTGAGTAGCTGGGATTACAGGTGCACATCACCACGCCTGCCTAATTTTTGTATTTTTAGTAGAGACAGGGTTTTGCCATGTTGGCCAAGCTGGTCTTGAACTCCTGGCCTCAACTGATCCACCTGCCTTGGCCTCCCAAAGTGATAAGATTACAGGTGTGAGCCACTATGCCCAGCCTGCTCATTCCTGTGTTCCTTTTAGTCTTTATTTCTGAAAATTTCTCCCCTTCCAAATTCCTGGTTTAATAAGGACTTGTTTATTTTGAGGAAAAAAGTTCCAAACATCAGGCTGTTCACAAAAATAACCCACAGTATCCACTTTAGAAAACAAATCTTAAGACTATAACACTAATTATTTTTCTAGAGAATGGATGTGACACAGCAACTCTCATTCACAAAAATACACTGTAACATTTGTGTTGAACTGCCCCACACAGCATACTAATGTGGGGGTATAACACACACACTTGTAACCCAAAGCTGCTTTCAGAAGCTACTCAGCTAAATGACATTGCCTCTGCAGTTAGGGAAGCAACTACTGAACTTATGTATGAATGAAAAGAACTGTACTCCCTGCATAACAAGAGATTATTTTGGAGACAGTTGATAAAAACCATACATCCTTTTTATTGTTAAGTCATAAAGCGGTATCAAAATTGACCAGATGTGGTGGCTCATGCCTGTAATCCCAGGATTTTGGGAAGCCGAGGCAGGCTGATCACAAGGGCAAGAGATGGAGACCATCCTTGTCAACACGGGGAAACCCTGTCTCTACTAAAAGTACAAAAATTAGCTGGGTATGATGGTGCATGCCTGTAGTCCCAGGTACTCAGGAGGCTGAGGCAGGAGAATCGCTTGAACCCAGGAGGCAGAGGTTGCAGTGAGCTAAGATGCACTCCAGCCTGGCGAAAGGACAGAGGGAAACTCTTTCATAAGAGGAGTAGTGTATTCAGAAGTTTGTTGAACAGTCTGATTTACAGTAAAAGATTTTCTGTGACCTGGGTTGTGAAGGGTTCTATTAATGCCAGGCCATAGCCTTACATTTCCTCATGTTAGCACACCAGAGACCTGATGACCTGATTTTCTTTGGAATAGTTTTTCATAAAAGTTTGTTAATGTATCGTCATTTCCTTGTAAGGGCAAGACTTAACAAGGTAATACAGAAGTGCTAGAGATAGGTAACAGCCCTCAAACTCAATGAGCTTCTGTGGGCTATTTGCATAATGTGCCGTTGTAGGAAAAGATTGGTTTCAGCAGACACTATAAGCATATACTACTGTGGTGCTTAGCAGGAATCTCAAAATTAAATGACAGAAGGCATTACTTGTCTCCGGATATTTTCTTAAAAAGCAGCTTCAGGTTTTTAGTTGGTTCACATGTCCATTCAGGTCTGTTAACCTGATAGGTTGGGCTGAGGAGGGGTGATTTTTATCCAGGTATAAGGTATCCGTGATTGAATTCCTGCCTGATAGATGCATGGTCAGAAGGCCCTCATAGAGTCTTACCCTTTGAGGGACTAGTTGGTGATCCAGTCCAGTCTCCCTCCAGGTTTTAATTAAGTCTTGGTCTCTAGCCTGGAAGGGATTAAGTGGCAGGTCCGTGGAGAAGAAGCAAACTCATGAACAGAAGTCAGTATTTCACTTAGCAATTTTAAATAATGTCTAATACCTCCTTCCCTTTCTAAGATACTATAGCCTGATCTTAGCCCCAAGGTG